AAGAGAGAGAGACAGATGGGGGGAGAGAGAGACAGACAGAGACAGAGAGAGACAGAGAGAGACAGACAGACTGACCAACCGACCGACCGAAACATAGAGACAGAGAGTCACAGCATTAGAGACAGAGATACAGAGGTGAGAGACAGAGATAGAAATTGATTGATTTTGGTTTTAGTGTCCAGATAGCTATTGACTGGCTTTGTGCTCTAAAGTATATGGTAATAGAACTGATCATTTTGGATTTGATGTGAATTAATATGAGATTTATTTGATAGGTTTTTTTTTTTTTTTTTAGGGTGATGACTGTTAAATCTCAACAGGATTTAAGAAGTCCAAAAATACCTTTAAAGATTCGGGGAAACAGTGGGTTCAGAGAGGACAAATTAAATAGAAATGGATAGCAAAAAAACAAGATCTGACGTTGAGTTTATGAAGTTTGATACAGTTTACAAAAAAAGCGATCTACCATTGAAGTATAGCCCTGAAATCTGAAGGAATAGAAAACACTTAAACTCCTTCAGTGATTCTTGGATTTGTGAATTGGGTAAACAATGTCTCTTGCGTTTTATAGTTCACTTAAGCAATCTGATTTTGATCTGTATATATGGAGCAGACAGGATTCAAGTGTTTTGCTCGCACACCAATGAGCAGACACATATGCTCCTTAAAAACTGAACTTTGTGTGGTGTTCATATGGAAGCTATCTAGTTTGCTATAGGCCTAAGACTTGACCTTCCCTTTATTTTACTATCACTTTCTTAATTCTTTAAATTCTTTGTGGGGGACTTTTGATCAAAAGAAACATTTTGGTTTTCTTTTTCTTTCTTTATAATTTCTTAAAAATAAAAGCTACATCAAATGTGTAATTAATCTCAGTACTCCTAGGCTGAAGTTACAAGCAGGGAGGGGAGACAACGTAGATCCACAGAGGAGAAGACCAACAGAACTTTGCTTTTTGTGCTAAGCTTTGATTTCAAGCACTTGAAAGTTTTATTATCTAGAAAAACAAAAAGAACATGTCATCTGGTATTATATATTATGAAAATAAGATCTGCTACTTATAATAAAAATCATGTGCAGCAGGATTAGAGACTGAGGTCAGATTACACAATCTTTGCCCACCTAATTTTTTACAGTCTTGTTCAGAATATAGACTTGTGTACACACACACACACACACACACACACACACACACACGAGATGACTTTTGGGAAGGACTTTCTTTTAGGATCAGGCGATCCTTGTGTTCATTTTCTTTGCTGTTTAACAATACTTTTACTACCTTAAAACTAATGACAAATAGTACAGTTAAAATGATCCTTCTTGTAGTTGATGTTAGACATCCATTTTTAATACTTGAATTTTGGGGGAAATGAATAACTGAGCAAACGGTAGGCATTAGTAATATTTAGGTCATCCTTAGTGATTGGTGGTTTAATATTTTATAGTCTTTCAGCAAAATTGGACAAAGGTTTTCAAAGGTAAAAGTAAAGTGTTATTAACCAGAATGATTACAGAGTCACAGAGTCAGGGAGAAGCTTAGAAATAATTTATTCCCTCATTATTCAGATAAGAAGAGAGACTGACTCAGCATGGGAAGGACCTGCCCTTGGTCACATAAGCGTGTGATTTGGGTCACATCCAGAAACTGGACATGTGATTTCTGCAGGCCTTTCTTTCTCCTTAGGTTTTGGTTCATTACTTTAAGGTCAGTATTTTATACAGAACATCTATAACTTACGTGGCTTACCCTCCAGTAGCTCCTCACCTAGTGGAGTTACGTACTGGTGCTTACCTTCATTGAATGGCTGAGTGATGTCAGTTTCTTTTAAAATTTTTGTGGTAGCTGTTTTCTTTAGTTGAATAATATATTTAATTTCCCCTTACAAGTTTATTTGGGTATTTCACAAATATGTATATATATATATATATATATATATATATATATATGGGTATGCATATTTATAGACACATTTATATAGGTAGACATGTTTTTATGTTGACATATTTAATGTATGTACAGATACATGAAATATAAATAAATTATTAGTGGGCTATCCACAGTATCCAGATACAATAGAAAACTCCGATTCCCTTGGCTGTGAAGTTACCACCCTGTGAACATAATTCTGTCTTTTACAGAAAATTGTTTTCTTATATATTTAAGCATTTTAATCAGTGAGACCAAGTAGTTATTAAGACTATATTTTAAGCTGTAATGCTGACTGTTATTTTCACTGCTTAAATCTAAGTAATACTGTAAATTAGACATAGTGCACTCTCTATTGATTTTTTAAAAAAGTAATAGTAAACACTTTCTAAGAATGAAACAAAGCTTTTAGAGTTAATTTAGAAAGAAATAGCCAAGCGTGTAGATACTTATGATTTTTGCAGATGCAACACCTTATGTCTCAGAATTGAGAAGATAATGGAGCGTTTGGGTGAAGCTAAGCACATTTGCAACCCGTTCACATACCCGGATCCTGAGTGCTTGGCCGTTTCAGCCGCGCTTATGCGTTCTTGTGAGTGCAGACGATGTCGGGTTATGCGGTGCTCGCTGCTCCCCCCAGGTCAGTTTCTCACGTTACAAAGAGGGCTTCAGTCAGAAACTCTGAGCCTTGGGGGTTGCCAGCCCCGTTTTGTCCAGTAGGCCTTCAACTCCATTGTCTCAGCCGGCTGTGTACAGTGGGCCTACTGTACCTGGCATCTTGAACTTTTTGTTTTTGTAGTGTGTGTGCGTGAAGCATATTGGCTGTTGCGGCACAGGATACAGTCTACAGTAGACTTGCCAGAATTGATGACTGAAGTTCTGTCGCATGGTTCTGTACTTTAATGACTTTGAACTTTTCCCTAGTGAGGCATTGCTTGTGTTTACAAAGAAAGCTCCTATCCCCCCAGTGTTAGAGTAGGTAAGTATCATAGTCCTTAGGGGGAGCGGGTTGGGATCAGGTACTTTCGCCAACATCACAGTGTCTTGTGAAACTGATTTCGAGTCTTGTGATCTTTTTGTCATCTTCCTCCCACTGCTGCTTTATTAAATCCGAGGGAGGAGAGCTCAGGGTCTGCTCCTGCAGTTGTTTTTCCCAGCGGCTCACGATGCGGCCGTATTAATGTATCTTAGGTGCGATACCTTAAAGTCTGTTTGCATCATTTGGGAAGGAAAATTTTTCTTTTGCTTTGTTTTGCAGAAATGCAGCTCGGCTCTCAGAAAGTCTTCTGTGTCCTCCCAGCATTTCTAAGACAGTCGCGTTAGCTTCCTGCTAGTTGACTAATAAAATTAATAATTGTAAAAAGCACTCTAAAGCCACATGCCTTATGAAGTCAGTGCTGGGTATGATTTTACAAGTATGTGATCTTTTTTTTTTTTTTTTTTTTTTTTAATGAAAATGTTAACTGGAAAAGTTCTTGGCAGACAGTAAAACATCATGCAATCTGTTATTTGTCTTACAGATAATAACTAGAGGGTGGCTGTAGTCTTAGGGTATCTAACTTACGACTTGCTAGAGGAGTTTCTTCCACTTAGAAGTATTGCAAATGTGCTTATATTTACACAATATGTCACTCTGAAAAATGATGATCATATAATTCCAGTAAGAATTATTTTTTCTATAACTACTTCAAAGTATAGTCAACTAAATTAGCCACATTTTTTTAAACAGCAACTGAAATGTACATGCCCTTACCCCTATAACATCAAATAAAACCCAAGTGGCCTTTCTGATACTTCTTTGAAGTTTTAGCAGTTAACCTTCTTTGCAACGTATATTACTAAGTGCTGTACGCACCATAAGGACCTAGTGAGTCGTGTGTGTTCCAAAGGTCTATTCTGGGGTGTAAGAGGAACTGAAATCTGGAAAGATGATAGTCTAATTAAATCACATTTGTCCTCTAAAGCCCTAAACATTTTGGCTGAATAGTTTTGAAAGTTGGACCCATTACATCTCTTTATGATAGCGATAAACGAGTAAGATCAATAACTGTTCTTTGTCCTGAAAAATAATCTAATTTTTTAAAAATTTTAATGCATTTAGATCTGTTCATTTTTAATTTAATTTAGTTCCCTGGTTATTCAAATTGCTGTCATTTTTCCATCCATCTTAACATCAGTATATGAACATAAGTCATTTTCTCTTGCTTTTGATGGAAGGATAACACGAAGAAATTATCACTTCTTTAGACATTCTACTTTTCATGTAGGATTTTAGTTTTTTGTATAACCCTATTTACTTACGTAGGTGAGTCAGAGTTCAGTCATATTATTGAAAAAAATAAAGACAAAACACAATTATTCAGTGCTTGTCAGAGGAAACCTAGTGTAATATGTGTAATGGAAGAAACAGTCATGAAATTCAAGAAAGTCCCATTTTCATAGATAGGAATGCCTGGTAGTCGGTGATTTAGAATATTCTTTTTGTTGGCCACCTTAAATGTATAGAGAAACATGCATGCACACACACATGCTCACATGCAATTGCGTGTGCACACACACACGTGCATTTTATTGGGGCTCTCACTGTGTTGCCCACGCTGTTCTCAAACTCCTGGACTCTCTTTCCTCCTAACTTCAGTCCCCCAAAGAGCTGAGACAAGAAGCATTTGTTATTACTTCCAACCTGTACATTTTGTTTAAATTTAGTTTAAATGATAATGTATTTCTGAAATTTCCCTTGAATTTTTTTCTCTTTATTTTGCCCTTTGTTGGCCATTATCTTTCAGTCTTCCAGGAGTTCCCCCTTCCTGAGGTGTCCCATCACTTCTGAAGGATAGGGGTCTCCCAAACTATTCATATAAGACCTTATAATGCAAGCCCTGCAGAAATACAGGTAGGCAGTGCTGCTTCTTGTGGTGAAGATTCCCTAGGTTTGTTCATTTTGGTCCTGGAAGGTGGCACCAAGGAGAGGAACACATGGCTCCTGCCCCAAGGAGCCAGGCAGGGTGCTGTTGTCTCAGAACAATCCCTAACTGTTGATGGCTCTGTCTTTCATCTTGGACATTTTTATTGTTCTGAGAGGGAGATCCTATGGCTCTTTGATGAATGATGTTATTGGTATATAAGAAGAGTGGCATCTTTTTTCAACAGGTATACTGCTATTAACATTATTCACTAAGGTGAATTTTTGCCTTGTAAATGATTCCTTATGCAAATACTTCATTATCTTTGTTCGGAGACTCCTACTATAAAAAGTTTTTGCTTGCCCAGCTTTTCAGAAGCAAAGGTACTCCTGTCTTTCCCAAGCCAGTCTGATTCCTCAGCACTTGTGAAAAATTAGACAAAAATGACTAATACCATGTTATTAATTTGGATTTTCCCAGCATGTTTTAGATAATCATGGTGTCATGAACTCTATTAAATTGGTCTTTGTAGCAGTCTCCTACTAAAGAAGTCTTGTTTTACTAGAAATTAAATTTTGCAGATATTTAGGTGAGGCTTTAGACAGCATTAGACAGCTTTGCTGCTGTGTCCTTATGGAACACGTGTCACAGAACCCCACCTTGGATTAATCTTTGCTAATTCATTATTCCATTGATAGGACACACATTATTTCCTGCTTCTCTGTGTCCTTACAATTCTGAGTCCTTAGATCTCCATGGAGGAATTGGTCCGCAACACACTAATTTTGACCTTGGTTGATGATGTCATTGTCCAGAAAGACTCACTTGAGCTATGACATAATAAGGAAACCACAGGATACTGCTGAGTCTTCCCCATTTTCAGCTGCAACTTGACGGTGTTCCACGTGGGGTCGCCGTCCACAGCGCTCCTGGTGGCAGACCTGTTTGCCGCAAGCCATGTGGACCCTGCCCTGGCTTTGTTCACTTTGCCAACATCCTAGAGATGGACCTCTTGAGACCTGAACCGATAGCCATACTGATACACACCGGATCTCATTTTCAGAACAAACCTCCTTAAAGAAATGGGTTGGCAGCTCAGCGATGAAGTGTTCATTACTCTCCATTTCCTGGTAGTAATGACAGGGCTCTTTTCACAATGGCCATAACACGGCTGTTCTATCTTTATGCCAAGGAGAGCGTTTTGGTGGACAGAGTACAGCTTGCTTGCACAGTGTAACAACAATAAACTATAATTGATGATGTTTCTATGTATCACATACACACATAATATGTATTCCATCAACTGAAACATGTATATACATTCTATAACATGTATATATTATATATAAGCTATAAAGTGCATAAATATATGTGTGCCTACAGATCCATTACAGCTACAGAAAAAAGTTGGGCAAAAATGTAGTTGGTAAAGCAGACTGATAATTATACTAGAACCAGTAAGGATAATGAGCCCCTTAGTATTCATAAATCTTTTTAAATAATAGATGAGATGGTCTGGGACAAAAATAATTCCAAATGTAAATTGTTTGCTTTAGTTTCAATTTCTTGCTATTTTTAAGACTGATATTTCTGCCAGAGGAAGTATTTCACTATATAACTTAGAAAATTTTGAATTGAATAAGCAAAGTAGTCTAGATTTGATTACATGCCTGTGACTTTCAAATAACTTTGCTGTGCCTGTTCTGTGTATTTTTTGTAGATATGGTCCGGAAAAAGAACCCCCCTCTGAGAAACGTTGCTAGCGAAGGTGAGGGCCAGACCCTGGAGCTGATAGGTGCAGAAAGCAAGGTGTCTGGACAGAACAAAGAATTTTCTGCAGATCAGATGTCAGAAAATCTGGATCAGAGTGATGCTGCAGAACTAAATAATAAGGAGGAGCACAGCTTGCACGTCCAAGATCCGTCTTCTAGCGGTAAGAAGGAGGCCAAAAGCTCAGTCCTGGGTGAGAAGGCTGGCTTCAAGTATGAAAGCCCCAGCAAGGGAGGAAGCCTTCCCTCCTTTCCTCTTGATGAGGTGACAGACAGAAATATGCTGGCTTTCTCATCTCCAGCTGCTGGGGGAGTCTGTGAGCCCTTGAAGTCTCCTCAGAGAGCAGAGGCAGATGCCCCTCAAGATATGGCCTGCACCCCGTCAGGGGACTCTTTGGAGACAAAGGAAGATCATAAGATGTCACCAAAGGCTACCGAAGAAACAGGGCAAGCGCAGAGTGGTCAAGCCAATTGTCAAGGTTTAAGCCCAGTTTCAGTGGCCTCAAAAAACCCACAAGTGCCTTCAGATGGGAGTGTGAGACTGAACAAATCCAAAACTGACTCAGTGGTGAATGACAACCCAGATCCGGCACCTCTGTCTCCAGAGCTTCAGGACTTCAAATGCAATATCTGTGGGTATGGTTATTATGGCAACGACCCCACAGATCTGATTAAGCACTTCCGAAAGTATCACTTAGGACTGCATAACCGCACCAGGCAGGATGCTGAGCTGGACAGCAAAATCCTGGCCCTTCATAACATGGTGCAGTTCAGCCATTCCAAAGACTTCCAGAAGGTCAACCGCTCCGTGCTTTCTGGTGTGCTGCAGGACATCAATTCTTCGAGGCCTGTTTTACTAAATGGGACCTATGATGTACAGGTTGGTGCTTTATGTTGTGGTCTTTTGGGACAGAAAAAGTTATAAGCAATGAAATGTGAGTTTTCACATGCATGGGAAAAGCAAGATCCTAAGACCAGATCGGTAGCTTTCCATCCATATGCAAAACAGAAGAGCTGAATGTTCCCAGGGCAACCTCGTCCTGATGGCTTTCTGAGTTGTCTTTAGCCCCTTGTGATGGGAAAGCTCCCAGCGTTTCTGTTAGGCTGGAAAAAGTCTTTTCATAGAACTGAGATTCATATTTCTAGACATGTTTCATGATAACTGGATATTTTCACAGTCTTCCAAAAATGGCAATAATCTTTATGGCTGTGCATGGTAATAATTCATTCCTTGTTTTAGTTTCTGATTATAAGGCTTCTGTTAGAATTTTTTCTTTTTTGAAGGTCTTTCCTATCTCTTGGATTACAATTTGATTTTATAGTGAGCTTGACTAGATTTGGTTCACGTTGATGGTTACAGAGTTATTCCCATGAAGAAACAAAATAATTGCAAGCGAAATTTTTGGAAAAAATATGATGATTGTAGAGATATATTTATGAAAAAAGGAAAATAAGTATAAATGGAGATTTGGAAATAACCTTTTAGATTGGTGAAAAAGAAGTAGTTATGGTTGTAAATAATAGAGACACCTGAATGACCTTGGTGTAGGCCAGTAAAGCATGCCTTTCTGCATTTAAGGAAAATAGTAATGATTATGAAAACATTAATGATGACTTAGCTGTATTAAAACCAGCATATCGTTTTGATCCACTTTCCTGTCTTATTTTGCATATATGTTAAATAAAAAAATGCTGATTTTAGGATGAAACAGGGAACTTATTGTAAAGAAACGTGTTCATCTAACTTCAGCAATTTTTATGTAGATGAAACTTTGGGTCAGCTTGAGAAAGTTTTTGCTGTAATCTGTAGATTTTTGATAATGTTCTTATGTCAAGGGATTTCTGAATATTAAGTTGAAAATTAATCTTCCTTAAGAATGACTAGAAGTTCCAGAAAAGTGGTGTGATCATGTCACATTTATTTAGATTACTAAATCTCTTGAAATATCAGTCATTTTTTTGATAGCTGCAACACATCTGCTGTGGTCTTTCTGTTGACCTAATGCCAAGTGAGAAAGCCAGGCAAAAGAGGGGCTACAAATAACACGTAGTGAAAGTATTTTGCAATACTTACAAGAAGAATCAGGAGAAATTTCTGAGCTCTTTAAATGTCAGAATGGCAATCTTCCTACATTAATGGAGTTAGGAAGAACTCTTAAAAAGCCAGTTTCGTCTTTGGTAAAGCTCTCTAAAAATTCTGCCTCACTTTGTGAATTTCCACAAATAGAATCATTTCTGTGGAGAAGCAAATTAAACCAACATAATTATTATGCATGAAAGCTCTGTGCTTTGAACTGCTGTCTTATTAAAGATCCTTTCACTGTCTTATGTCAGATGCACTCTGCTGTCAAACTATGATTGGAAAGCAAATACACGTTTTAGATAAAAGAGTTGGAAGTGAATAATGTCGGTATGTGAAACGGTGTTTTATAATTAGCAAGTAATATGATGTTAATACCTGGATTTCCGGCAGGAGTTTTAGTTGTGCACACTGGGGATAACTTCTGAGGGAGCTGATAGCTGCTGTCAGAAGATTCTAGAAGTAAGATTACTAAAGGCCTATAGTTCAGAAGAATTCTGAGTTTTAAACACCCTTCCATTTCCCCCAAACAGTTATTTGCTAGATTCTTAGTTATTTATAGTAAAGTTTATGTTTGGGTAGAACACTTTTCCTGGGCAGTGTTTTCAGAAATAAAACAGATGTGTGAGCTATCTGCATTTGAGCTAATAGAACTAGAAATAAAGCAGCTGATCCTGGACTGTGCTGTCTACGAAGTCCTTGCAACCTGCCCGGGAAAGAAGACAAAAGGTGGTAGGAGATACCACTCGTAAGGTACTGATGTTAAAATCAATTCCTTTTTCAATAAGAACTAATACGAAAATTTGAAAAAAGCAATATGTGGGGAAAATTGGTGATTACTGTAGAGGCATGATTTTGGTTTAAAAAGAGTTAACATTAGCTTGGTGTGGTGCTGCACCTCTGTAGCCCCAGTACTCAAGAGGCAGGAGGATTGTTGTGAGTTTGAGACCAGCCTATGCTACTTACTACATAGTGAGTTCAAGGCCAGCCTGAACTATATAGTGAGATCCTGTCTCAAGAAACAAACAAACAAACAAACAAACAAAAAAACCCAGGCCAGGTGTGGTGGTGCATGCCTGTGATCCCAGCATTCACAAGGCTGAGGCAAGAGGACCCTTGAGAGTTCCAGACCACCCTGGGCTACAAAGTCAGCTCCAGGCCAGCCTGACCTGCATATCAAGACCTTGTTTCAACAGTACAAATACAAAAACAAAAAAAAAAATCCCCCAAAATCAAAGGCAAAAATAAATAAATGAGTAAATACACAAAAATTAATGTCCATATCTGACGATAACACTAAATATACTTACAAAATGCAAATTTTGAGTACTTTTCCCATACACCAGATATTGATCTTTAGACATGTCTATTAATAAGGAACTTACTCATGTTTTTCTGCTGGAATAAACGCTGAGCAGCTCCTTTATACACAACAGTAAAAGCACATCTGAAGTTCTTTTTTGTGCTGTGCTGCAGAAATGCTATTTGCTCCGTTCTTTGTTTTGCACTTGAGCTATTTGGAAACTGGAAGCGATAGGACATAAAATGTCGCCCATTGAATTTCTTTAATGCAGACTTCTGTCATTAGTATATACAGTAAAGCAATGTCGTGACTATTCTGATTGCAAGATGAAGATAAAAATCAGTATTGTAGACAAATAATCTCGGGAATTATTTATATGGATCTATAATTTAAGTTAATTGGAGGACTAGATGAGCAGTTCATTAATCTTTTGCAATTAAAGTGTTTTTTTAACCATCACAACAGTTGCTAGCTAATGATAGATTTATGACATTTTAGACCAAGGAAAAAGGAACAGAAGCCAGAAGTAAGTAAAGAACTTGCAGAACTCCGAGGCTTTGATCTGTATTTTGGTTTGATGCAGATGGCTTTAAATAATGTAAACTGACTCGAATGCAAATATGGAATATACAGTTGGGGAAAAGGAGTCATTTAAACAACTTTGGAGATTTGTGACATATAAATTATAAATTTACATTTTTGGAGAAATAACTGAAAGTTAGGTAGCATACAAATTTTCCTGGTCTTCTGTGTCTATTTTGTAACAAACAACTGGTTAACGTTCTGACTAGAGTACAGAATATTTATAAATATAATTCTGCAAAATAGTATAAAGTCGTTTCTTTGTTGAAGGCCACCTTAAATAGCCATCGTAAAATCAAGACTGTCTTTTCTTACTCTTTTGAATTTGTGAGATTTTCTCCCATACAACTTGATGTAGCATGCACAGCCCTGAAATCAGACAATGTCATTTCTTTATTAAAGAAGACAAGAAGAGATACAGTGGCTAGCCCAGCGGTAACTGATTTTTTGCCAAGATATTAGCTTCCCAATTTTTCATATTTCCTACATGTTTTAATCAATTGTCAGGCATACATTTTTTTTTTAAAAATAATGGACACAACATGATGGGGAAGCCCTTCGTGGAATTTTTACTATCTGTATTCAGCCTTTGAGGGTTACATGTACACCAATAATAGGACAAGAGATTGAGTTCTTAATAAAAGTAATTACAGCCTCTTTCTTTTTAATCTGCTTTATTATGCTTATATTTAAACCATCGCGGGATGGAGGCTTGCATTTAAAACTCAGACTTCGCTGTTTCATTAAGGCTTAATGCGCTGTGCATTAGGGCGTTTGCATCATCTTTATAGGGGAGCTTTTAGCTCTCAGATCGGGTTATAAAAGTAGGAGTCCTGTCAAATGGCGCTTCCCACGGGAAAGTGTTTACACTATGCCAAGTTTATAAATGCTCATGATGTATGTGTTGTCTTTTCATATTGTAAACCTTTTCTATTATAATGCATTATTCAGGACTTCAAGAAGGTAGCTACTGGATTCCAGCTATTATGTTCATTTTGGCCTTTAACAAGATTCTAAGGTTAATAGGAGAATCACATTATTACTCTACCAGAGACTGTCTTATTTGAACTAGTTGAGCTGCATTTCTGTATTTTTTCATCCAGAGTTGCACAATATGGCATGTTAGAAACAGGAAGAATAGATTCAGAGGTGGAAAATCATCTTGTGCATTTGTGTCTTCAGCATATTTAACTGCATGAGCCTTCAAGAGCCTTAACTTGTATGTGCTAGGGCTTTCATTTGAGCAGGGGATCACAGTTAGGTCTGAAAAAAGAAAGAAAAAACTCAGGGAACATTAATCTCATTGTGGTTTATTTTGACTTGTCTTGGCTTTTGCTTCCAAATATTTATTTTTTTGCCTTGAAGTTTCCTTTGATCTGGAGTAGGAGGGAAGTTGCAGATCTTACAGGTTCTGTTTCTTTGTTTTTCTGAGTCGAGGACAATTGCACTTTAGAAAAACTGGTGAATGAGACTTTAATCAATTCAGACTGTCTACAGAGTACAGAATGCTTGACATATGAACCCATTCTTATTTTCAGGGCTGTATCTCTTTAACAAGTAATAAAGTGTGCAAAAGAAAACATATGCTCACCTCAAGGCTGTAAAGCAAAGCAAAATCCTGACATTTCCGAGGTCATTTTCACCAGTGGAGATGGAGGAGTTGGATAGTGTAGCCACCCAGGTAGCGTCGTTGGACAGTATTCGCTAATTTGGTTTCTTCCATGACAATTAAATCTCCATTCAGCCCTCTTATGTGAGAGTTGGTACATTAGCTATCATTACCTCTTTGATTTTGAGCTTATCTGTTATCATTCAGAAAACATGTCATCATTTTCTAGAATATCAGTGTTTCTCTCCAGGCAGACTGTTTAAAAAATATCTATCTATCTGTGCATCCAATCAAGTGTAGCATTGT